ACCAGTCAAAGACCCAGAAGTGCATAGCCAGTTGGCAGATCCCAACAGCTGAACGGGTGAATCAGGGGACAAGGTCAAGTGAAGTTCAAATGGTCATCAAACTATTCACTCCTGTTACCTTACTGACTGAGTTAGGTAAAGAAAGGGCTCTGCGAAATGTCCAAATTCTCTGTTTCAAACACTAGAACCCTCCACTTCACCCCAAGCCCCAGAAGAGGGCTGTGACATTTCCCTCCTGAGGCAATGAGGATGTCTAGGTGCCAGGCTTTCCTTTCTAGTGAGGCAGGGGATGGGAGTGGGGAAGGGTGAGGAGGTGGGTGCCAAGAGTCGACAAAGGCTGTGCATTCAGAGAGGCTGGAATGGTCAGGGTGAGTCTCAGAGGTCACCCTGTCGCTAAAGCATGACACACAACACCAGGAGGCTCTCAGAATGGACTTCACTGTTGGGTGATTGTGGCCCCAGAACCCCAGATTTGTGAGAACAGTCTGACTCCTGTCCTCCCCTAGCCCTGCATATACCAGGTGGCTGCTAGAACAAGGCAAAATTACTGCTGATGGAACACACCTATCATGGGGTCACACCAACTGCAGACTGGGTTTTCTAAGGTGCCGCTGCTGCCTCTCCAACTCAGCATCTAGCTAGAAAGGTGGAGCAAACACACACACACACACACACACACACACACACACACACACACACGGAAAGGGGCAGTGCTTTCACAGGCCTGAGCTACACGCCAAGCCCTGGGGAACTCCCTTAGAAAACACAACCACTCTCTTCTCTATTGTTTGATTTTGGTGTAGTGAACACATGTTGCTTTACTAATTAAAAAAAAAAATTAAAAGAACAAGCACAAAACATACAGCCCACCCAGTTCAATGTGCATGGCCCAAGCTCACTCTGGGCCCAGAGCAGAGAATGGGTGCTATCAGGCCTAGACGGAAGGAAGGGAAATAACCAACCCAAAGAGAAATGGGTCCTTGCCCACGCTGGGTGAAGAAGCAGAGTCAGCTCACGTTCTTGTTCGTGGGAGATGCCCAGGCGCTCATCCTAGTGTGGTCAGAGCCATTGACAGGGATAGCCAGCTTCCCTGGTACTGCACTGTCCCCCTCCCCTTCCAGGTCCCCATGCCTCACCCCTGGAGCTGTTTCATGCAAAGGAGAACCAAGCTCATTTCTGGAGGCTCCCATTTAATCAGGACCCCGGGCCCAGCAACCATTGCCCCTCCTCCCCAAAAACCATGTCAGAAAGGTGCCCCCTCCTGGCAGCTGGGAGGCCAAACTGCCTGGGGCAAGGCTCCAACCAGAGTCCACGGCTGCCCTCTAGTGGTGCTGAGGAGAAGAGACACCCTCCACCCCTACCGCCTGTGGGCCTCCCAGCCCCCTACCCTTTACACTGAAGCCTCCCAATTCCTGACGGCCTTTTCAGGCCTGTGCCTTCAGTTCTAGCTCAATCAGGAACTCTATCATCTGCCACGGAGCAAGGGGCAGGAGCCATCTGGGGGAATCAACTGCTGAATCAATAGGGCAAGGCTCCTGGAGGAAATTAGCATCCCTCAGATATCCTGACGAGAAATTGGGCAGCAGTCTCAGGCTTAGCCAGCAATCACCATCCACTGTACACAATGGACAACAGCACACTCTTCAAATTAGGTCAAGTCCTCAGTGGGAGGGACGAGCTGACTCTGGGGGCGGGCACTGCCTGTGGCTGTCTGGCCCCATCTGACCCTGTTCTCAGCAGGGTCTCCTCAGTTCTGCTGGCTGCTGGGTCCACCCCAGGCCCATGTGGGAAGGAGCTCAGGCAGGAAGCAGGCTCCACCATCCCTCCCTCTCCCTGGGCCCCTAAGAAACAGCAGTACCTCTGCTCCACTCCTGGTCCCTTGGGGTGAACTGCCCCTCAGACACCTTCAGGGTCCACCCTATCCCAGGCAGCACCCCTACCTCTCTGCCTCTTCCCCCGCAACACAGAGCAGCACCTGACCATCTTCACCATGGGCTCCCCTCTGGGATGGTCACTCCATGAGGGGAGGGGACCTCCTGTCCACAGCTCAAATCTCAGTGAGGGCGGGGCACCTGGCCCATAGCGGGCACTCAGAGGCAACCCAAGACAAGAACTGAGGGCCTTTCTCTGGGCTTCCTCACCTAAGCCTGACTCCCCTCACTGGGTCCCTGAACACTGAAAAGGGTTTCTCCCTGCTTCCCAAACACCCCAAGAGCCCAGGCTGGCAGGATGGAATGTAACCAGCAGAAAACACTGCTTGGACTCTGCAGCCCTTTAACAGACCGCTCAGAGCTGCCCTAATCCAGATGAGCTGACGTCAGAATCTGACAGGTATTCTGCCTCTAGCACCTTAAGCTAAGACAGTGGTTCTCAACTGGCAGCAACTGTGTCCCCCCCAAACATATGCCAATGTCTGGAGCCATTTCCGGGTGTCATACTTGGCCAGGGGGAGTTGGGGGATGGTGCTCCTGGCATCTAGTGGGTAGAGCCAGAGCTGTGGCTAAAACTTACAATATATGGGAGAACCCCCGCAATGAAGCTAAAGTTACCTGACTCAAAATATCAACAGTGCTGAGGCTGAGAAACCCTGGGCTAAGGTAGCTTTATATTATTTTTTAACTTGCTAACAACAAATGTATTGAAAAAAATACTGGAACTGACGATTCGCCTACGAGGATATCCCTGTGACCAAAGAGCAGTGTGGTATTCAAAGGCTGGCTGAGGCAGACCTGCTGTGGGCAGAGGGTGTGCTGGGCGTAGGGCTGGACAGACCCAAGTTCAGCACCAGGCTTGTGGGGTTTACACCTGTGGGCCCCAACTTTGGTCAAGTTACTTAACCTCTCCTTCCTCAGTAAAATGGGGATTGTATTAGTTCCTGCTTCACAGGATCATACAGAAAGGCATTCGCATTCTGCCAGCATGGAGTAAGTATTCAACAAATATTAGCCACAATTATGAGGAAAGGTGCACAGAAATTATTTACAGCCCAGCAAGGCACACAGGCCGCAACTCCAGCTCCTCTGGGCTGGATGGATCATGGGAAATAGACAGAGGGGCTGGCTAACTGCCACATGTCCTGGGACTGCTACTTATACTCCAAGACTTTTAAATGTTTGGGCGGTTTCCTTGAAAAGAAACTATGACGATGACTCAATTTCTACCCCTCTTCACACAGTGAGGTCAGGGTGGGGTGGAGCCAGGATCCTGGCTGTGAGGACCGAAATGGTGCCTCAGGAGGAAAGAAGACGAAGGGAGGGGGTGGAGCTATAGGAACAGAAAGTGACTGAAATCCCTTAGGCTTTGGTGGGGGGTGATGGTCAGTCAATGCCTCTGCCCACTGCTGCATCACACACACACACACACACCCCCCCCCGGGTCAGTCAACTCCTTTGCCCACTGCTGCATCATACATGCAACACACACACACACACACACACACACCCCCTCTCATGTTCGGCCTCAACACAGAGAGCAGACAGGGGAAGCAGGCTCTGGGGAGGGTGGGGCCACCTGCAGGAAGAGAAGACATCCTTTGAGAATGGTGATTCAGGGTCCCAGAGGGGCAACAAGAAGGCACACAGTGGATCAGCTCCATGCTCCCAGCCATCACCAGGCCTTGGCTTCTCCCAAACACCCATGGGCTGCCTAGGCTGTCCTTCTATGCCCCAAAATTTTGAAATGGCATGAGTTTCAAGGCCACTCAGGCCCGAAGCTGGAATCCTCGTGGGTGAACTCGGGCGAGTGACTCAATCTCTCCAAGCCTCCCTCACTAGTGTACGGTCACCTGACCTTCCCAGAGCACTGTACACCAAGCACATGGTCCAGCCAGGCCCCCAGCAGAAGCATGACTGCCACTGGTCTCTCTCCCTCTTTCCCTCCTGGCTGTCCTTGATGTTCACCTTAATGTCATACCTGCAGAAAATTCAGTTGTGGGGAATGGGAACAGGCAGCCCCTCAAGGTGGCTGTGGGGGACCCTTAGCAAAAAGGAAGTTAACAGCAGTGAAAATACTCAAGGTGTTTTACGTTCCTTCCCTCTCACTGGACCCTCATACTCTCTGGGACATGGACAAACAGAAGCCCCATCTTAGAGGGGAAGAAGCCAACTAGCGGGGCAGGCAGGGAACTGTTCAGGGCCACAGAAGGGCCTCCAACCCTGGGACCTCACCCTTAACTTCCTCCAGATGGCGAGCTCACCCACCAAAGTTTCCACACCAGAAGCTGAGACACAGCACCTGCAGGGTATGAGCATCCTTGGGGAATCCACATAGGCTGGCAGCACCCCAAGGGTGGTAGCCCAGGGGCTCAGCAACAGGATTCCCACTGTGGACAACATAGCCTATTAGATAAGAGGGTAGCTCAGAAAGTCAGCCACGCCGTGCACACATAATCCTGGCTCCATCAAGGACAAGTCACTTTTGTTCCCTGTGCCTTAATTTCCCTTCTGTGAAGCAGGAATGCTTAACTATGATGCTTCCCTCAGGGAGTATGAGGAGGACTAACACACACGCAAGTGCCTGGTGCAAATTCAGCACTTCCTAAGTGGCATGCATTATCCTAACAAATATTCCTGAAATGGATGAATGAAGGAGACAGAGTATCCAAATTAGACCTGTACCCTCCCCACGAAATCTATTCCACAAGGCTTTCATGGATAAGAACAGCCCCTCTGCCCGTGGTGCCTGTGCAGGTCCTTGGGAGGGAGGACTTGAGGACTCCTTAAACTCTGTAGCACAGGGGTCAGCAAACTGTTTTCTCTGAAGGGCAAATAAAGACAGCAAATTTTTCAGGCTTTGCCATGAGGTCCCAAATGCAGCTACTCAAGTCTGCAGTGAGTTATATGTAAATGAATGGGTGGGGTTATGTTCTAACAGATGTTTATTTACAAAAACTGGCGGCAGGCCACCCTTGCCTTCCAGGCACAACCAGGTCCATATGGGGCTTCCTAAGTCACTGAGAAGTCAGAGTGGCGACACCTGCTCCTCCTTCGAAATCTCTGCAGGCAGAGCTGAGGATGGCCTCTCCTTGGGTCCCCCAGATTCATTCCCGGGAGCTCACAACTGGCAGAGGGAAGAGGAGGGTGCTCCAGGCAGCAGCCCTGTGGGAGTGGTGGTCTCCAGCTTCAGCTGCAAGGCCATGAAAACAGGAACCAGCCCCCTCAGCCACCGTTTCTCTGAAACCAAAGCTCAGCAACCGAAAAAGGATCAAAAAAGCAGACGGTGGAGGTGGAGCGAGGCAGCTGCGCTTCTCAGTGCCCCTGGGCTGTCCCCAGCCCCACCTCTGGCACAGGTGGTCCAAGGAGCCCGAGACTCCATGGCGGGTCCTACCTTTTCGGGTGAGCTGCCTCGGCTCTCCCAGCCTCCACATCCACACATTCCAAACAGAGACACCACTACCTCCCTGACCTACCACTTGAGAAATTACAGAAAGAAAACACAAGGTGGCTCATGTTTGGGCCAGCAGCCTCCAGCTGTGGACCACACAAAAATAATAAAAACAAATGATAATGCTGGCTTTGATTATCTTCGCTTTTTTTTTTTCAGAGACAGAGTCTTGCTCTGTCACCCAGGCTGGAGTGCAGTGGTGGGATCACGGCTCACTGCAGCCTTGATCTCCTGGGCTCAGCAACCCTCCCGCTTCAGCGTCTAGAGCAGCTAGGACCACAGATGTACACCACGACGTCCAGCTAATTAATTTTTTTCTTTTTTTTTTTTTACAGATGGTCTCACTATGCTATCCAGGCTGGTCTCAAACTCTTGGGCTCAAGCAATCTTCCTGCCTTGGCCTCCCAAAGCTCTGGAATTACAGGCAGGAATTCTAGGCAGCTGTGATGTATCAGGTACCCTGGTAGGTGGGTGGGTGTTCACGTATAACACCCCACAACAATGCTATGAGGAGGCAGGCACGGTCCTCACCTCCACCTTACAGGTAAGGAAAGCAGAGCTCAAGGGACTTGCCCATGGACACAAAGGCTTGTCCTAAGAGCTGGGATTCACTCCCAGGTGTGCTGACTCCAAAGCTGTGCTTCTCACTGTCCTGTCTGCCAGGCATGAGACAGGCTGTTTGTTTCCCAGTAGGGGCCTTTCCACCCTATTATTCTTTTTTTTTTTCTTGAGACAGGGTCTCGCTCTGCTACGCAAGCTGTAGCGCAGTGTGGCACAATTATAGCTCACAGCAACCTCCACCTCCCAGGCTCAGGCGATCCTCCCCCCTCAGCCTCTCAAGTAGCTGGGACCACAGGCACATGCCACTAAGCCTGGCCAATTTTGTTTATTTTTTTGTAGAGACAAGGTCTCCCGATGTTGCCCAGGCTGGCCTCAAACTCCTGGATTCAAGTGATCCTCCCGCCTCAGCCTCCAAAAGTGCGGGATTGCAGGTATGAGCTACCCCACCTGGCTCCTTCCACTGTATTCTTTCCATTTGGAAAATAGGGCCTCATGCAGTGTCTGATCCCACAACAGCAAGGGCAAACTGGAGAGAAAGAGAAGGAAGCGGGTGTAGCCCATCCCCACCGCCCGCCCCGGGCCAAGGGTCCTGCTGAGGCAGGACTGCCTCCCTGAGGCCGACGTCCACCTGCCTGCTGCAGTCATCACAGCCACAGCCTCCTGGAATTGACCTCACCACGTCCTGTTCCACATTCTAGACAAACAATTCCACCTCCTCTTTCAAGTAATTGAGAACTCAAGCTCAAGTTCATTGATATGTAACTCTATTGGGCAGGGATACCAGCTAGATGGAAAAGCTGCCTGGGCCAGACCCCTGAGATTTGGTCAGACTGCTCCCCTGGCAGTCCCAGAGCACCTGGAGGCCCACTCCATACAAGGGCACCACAGCCAACAGTTGGCAGCTTCACAGGCCTTTGCATCCTCTTGGGAGATTCATGATCTACCTTCAGGCTCTGGTTCTAGAGATTCTCAGGTCTTCAATCCATTGTTTCCAAACTTATTTGGCCATGGACCCTCTCCTGCAGATTCCTGCCGTCCTACAATCCTCAGCCTCATCCCACCCTCTCTGACCCTCCCAGGCTCCTCTTATCTCCCCTGCCCCCAACAGGGCCCAGATTAAGCCTGACCGGCTGCAGTCCACTATGTGCCCAGGTCCACCTATCCCTGAGCCCATCTCCTCCTCAACCTTCACATCGAGCAACTTTGTGGGGAAGGGAGATGAGCAAGAAGGAAAGAGGCTCACAGCCAAGCCTAGGTGAAAAGAGCAAGCTACAAGCAGTGTGTCCTCTAGGATACTATTTTGTTGTAGTTGTTAAAAAAAAATCTGTGTTATCTATACATAGAAAAACATGAAAGACATATATCAAAATGTTAAAAGTGATCATCTAAAGTGGAGGGGGGATGTCAGCAAACTTTTTCTGTCAAGGGCCAGAGAGGGGCTGAAAGTTGAGCTGATCAGCAATGGCCAATGATTTAATAAATCTTGCCTACATAATGGAGCAGCCATACAAACTCAAAAGCACAGGGCCTGGAGAGCTTCCAGGTTGCTGGCACACGGCAGTGGCACACCCAGCAGGGCCTGGACACTCTGCATGCCTTCCACATACCTTGCCCTATGCACCTCTGCTACCCCACTGGGCTGTACCATTTTACGTGGTACTGTACATCAGTCATCTAGCAAGTAAACTGCTTTCCTGGTTCCATGAGCTGCTCTAGTAACTTACTGAACCAAGAAGAGGTTCTGAGAACCTGATTTGTAGCCAACTCAGACAGAAGTTGCTGGAACCTGGGGACCTGCTCCTTGTGACTGGTGTCTGCAACGGAAGGCAATCTTGCGTGGGACTGAGCCTGTGAGCTCTGTGCTAACTCTGGTTAGCATCAGAGGTGAATTTAATCGTGGAAAACCCAGCTGGTGTCAGAGAATTGGTTGTGAGTGGGGAAAAAACCCACATTTGGTCACAGAAATGACCTGTGTTGTGTTGAGTAGAGTAGGGCCAGGCATGGTGGCTCATGCCTGTAACCCCAGTGCTTTAGAAGGCTGAGGCAGGAGGATCACTTGAGTGCAAGAGTTTGAGACCAGCCTGGGCAACAAAATGCAACTCCTTCTCCGCAAAAAATACAAAAAATAAGCCAGGTGTGATGGTGCATGCCTGTTGTCCCAGTTACTCAGGAGGCTGAGGTGTGAGGATCGCCTAAGCCCAGGAGGTGGGAATTGCAGTGAGCTGTGATCACACCATTGCACTCCAGCCTGGGTGCCAAAGCAAGATATTGTCTAAAAAAAAAAAAAGTACAGAGTAGAAGAAAACAGTGAGTTTGCTTTTTCCTACTAAACAAGTACCACGTGCAACTATCATGTATTCAAAAACATATAATGAAAAGAATGAATAAAGTGAAATGAAACAAAATAAATCATACTAAAAATGGCATATAGGCCTCAGAGAACTCCAGGCAGTCAGTGACCAGAAAGCTGCGTGACCCTGACCTTGCATGAAGGAGGAGGTCACACCTGCTTGGCCTGGCCCACAGCCATGGGAAGCAGAGTGAGGTGAGGTGTGACCACGGAAGACGGTTGCACTTGGAACCTGAATCCCCTCCTCTGGTCAGTGATGTCCTCCAGCCCCAGCCCATCATGTCTGTGCAAGGTCATAATGATGCAGAGGAGGGGGCCCAAAGCCTCTGCTGCAAAGACAGGCAGGACCCCAGCCCCGCCTGGGAGTCCCTAGACTGGTGGAGGTGTTGTCAGCAGACGGGACTAACCAACCAGTTGCGGAATGGCCTCAAAGCCATGCTTGCCGCCAATACGCGCTCTCATCTTGGAGCTTCTCCCTCCCCTGCCACCACCCAACACACCCCAGGAAACAACCACTCCTGGCCTAACTCCCAACACCAGCCACCCCCTCCACTATCCACTGAGCAGGCCCTGCTTCAGCCAGGAGCAAAAGCCTACAGAAGGCATTGCAGGCACCATGGTTCTTAGGTCTCAGGTAGGCCAGGATTCCAAGGCACTTCAAGACAGCCCACAGGAAAACGAGCATTTCTACTGCCCCATCAGCAGGGACAGCCCCAGCCCCAGTGTGATGCCAGAACTTCACTGCTACCATACTTTCCCTCATACTTCACCACCCCTTAAAAGCCAGAATGAACAGGAATCTGCCTTCCCATTAGATTGCTGGGGAACGTGAGGCTCTGAGGAAGCAAGTAACTTCACTCACACCACAGACAACAGTGGAAAAAAACCAGACCCACTGGCCAGCTCACTGTCCTTTGCTCTTTCAACATCACCTCCCAAGCACCCTCCGCCCTCCGCCCTCCCCCGTCAAGATACTCATGCCTGTTTCTCTTCTTAGCAGTCTCCCCTGAGCACACGCAGGCTTTATTGCTTCCTCAGCTTCCTGAGGCATGGCCCTTCCCACTGAGAACGCCTCTGCACACTCCTGTCTGACAAGATGTGATACAAGCCAGTCCCCACCGATCCTATTGGGAGAGCACATGTGCACAGGCCAGAGAAGAGGGAGAGCAGGATTGAGGCCACGTCAAAAGCCTCGGCCCAGGGGAAGCATTCTCCTGCCCACTGAACTGCCAGTGACCTACCCCTTCTTCAGGTTTTTCACATAGGCGCTCTGGAGGGCGGCTTCCAGGAAGTAGGTGAGCTCATAGTCAACCGGGTGACAGCCTTTCAGATGCCTCGACGTGCTGTTATTTGCGGTCTGGGAAGGGGAACAGAGAGAGAGCCATTGTCTCAAAGTTCTGAGCAGGGGGTCACTCAGCAAGAGGAGGTGGCCTCATCACCATCCCAGTCCTAGCTGTTCAGGGGCACATTGTTGCAATTCTCAGACCAGACTTGATCTAGCTCAAGGTTCTGGGGTACATGTGCAGATCATGCAGGACTGTTGCATAGGTACTTACATGGCAAGGTAGTTTGCTGCCTTCATCCCCCCATCACCTATATGTGGTATTTCTCACCTCATTTTAACTCAAAATGTATCTAAAGCACTCTCTCCCCATCCAAATGGTAGATGCCCAAAAGCGGTTTTTTTGTTGTTTGTTTGTTTTTTTGTAGAAACTGGGTCTTACTATGTTGCCCAGGCTGATCTCGAACTCCTAGGCTTAAGCAATCCTCCCACCCTGGCCTCTCAAAGTGATGAGATTATAGGCATGAGTGACTGTCCTAAGCCTCTAACATTTATTCAACAGGGCTTTAAATTCATTAACTCATTTAGTCCTTTAGAGCACCTCTATTAGGCAGGAACTAATCATCATCATTTCCATTTCACAGGTGAGAACAGAGAGGGTCTCTTCCTGCCCCAAGGCCACTCAGGTTGTGGGTGGCGGAGCCAGGCAGTCAGGTTCCCCCCTCCACTCTTACCCTCTACTGCAGGAGGACTTCCCTGCCTGTCCAGAGCCATGCTGAGCACTTGCTCTTTAACTAGACAGCACTCACTGTCTGAGCACGTGTAGAGGGACCGCTTCACATAGCATTGCTCCCCTGCTCTTCTGCATATACAAACCTCATCTCCCACCAGACTTCAATCCCACAGGACAGGAACTGAGTCTCCTGAGTCTCACA